CAATAAACGTCATCAGTTGTAACAGATCTGTAATCGGGACAAAGTCATAAAATTAAATATTCTTGATAATATGAAATTTTGTTCGGATAATCGGTATTCTTTAAAATCGAACTTGTATATATAATATTCATTTGGGTGCCTTATCGCGGTATAATGGCCACTGCTAGTTAAATATTAGGTGATCGAGCTTTTTGATAGCTGAATTCCAAATTAGAACACTTGTAAAATCTGTAAAACCTCAAGGTTTACAGCAACTTTTCTCATTCGATGGTATATCACTAGTGTATAGCTTAAATTACACTTGGAAACTAATGCCTGCTTCGACAATTGTATAATTTATAGTATACTAATTCCTAACTTTGCCAAACTAAAATCAATTCAAGCAGACAATATTCAGTATATTACAATCCACCTACTTTTTTTACTCTTAGAACAGGAAAAATCTTTCAAAAGGAATTCATTACAGACTAATAATTGGCCTACGTATCTACATGACGTCAGATCCTGATGACCTAAACCGTATCATCAACAATGATTTTTTTTTCTTTTCTTTATGCATTTTTAATAATAATAAAAAAAATATTGCGGAGAAAAATAGCTTCATGCTAATCTTTGTTCGGATACAAAGCCAACATCAGCCGTATTGCACGTGGGTTTATTTTAAAATCGAATCGATATTCTTAGAAATCCATGTGGTTTGCGATTAGATATTTGACTAACCGCACGTGAAGTACAATGCCTCTGTATTCGTACGATTCTTTTTAGCCCGAAATACTTGGACCGATTTCAGGCGATATAGCAGTTATAGTGAACGCGCTGTTCAGCTAGTCGAAATAAGTACTTCTCAGATGTTACTGTAACGATTTTGTTTAAAACGGGATACAAGTAGGTCTTAACCTATAAGCCTAAAAAGTACGGCTGGCGATGTTCAGGTATTGCTAATGTCTTCAAATCATACACGGTATTTCACGAGTCAGGCCTTGTGTCAAAATTTGCTAAGTTTAACTCATACCATCACAAAAGACAAAATAAAATGTTATCTTCTTCTTTATGTGCCGTGTCCCCTGAGGACGTAGGCGATCATGGCTCTCTACATGTTCCTGTCTCTTGTAGCTGTTGATAACCTTTGTTTTTCTGTTATTTCTCCTAAATCATGTTCCGCTATCTATTAACTCAAAACTCACTATGTTATACGATTTTTCCTCTGTCCCTCTTGCTGTCTATCCGTCTCGTGAGTATCACATTTTCGAAGCCCTCCCTCCTCGTTATGTGCTTCAGAAACCTCAACTGTCTCTTCCTGATGTTAAGTATAAGTTTACTTTTTGTTTCCATTTTTCTCCAAAACTTTGTCGTTGGTCACATGTTCCGTTCATTGTATCCTCAGCATCCTTCTGTAGAATCACATTTCTATTGCTTCAGGCGTTTTCTTCATCTTTGACGAGATTGTACAGCACTAAGATGTTTTATTAGTCTTTCATTCCGGTCTTGCGTGTGGAATGTTTTTTGTCGATTTAAAGTCATATTTGTTAGTCTTTCTGCTGTCATATTTTATTGTCTTCACAAATGCAAGAGTCTTTTTGAAACTCCGAATTAAATATATACAAATATCTGCTTAAATCGGTTCGATTAAAAAAAAATGATGACATGTACAACAATACACGTACACGCACACGATAAAAAATACATGAAGAAAAAAAACAACCAATAATTATTCTTTTCTGTTTATTTTGAGTTTATTATTTGGAAAATAAAACAAATGAAACTGATAAATATATTTGCAATCCCAACAAAATATATTCTGGAATATCTGTCTATCGTTGAAAGATTGGTTCTCGGACGATCACTAAAAATTAAGCAACATCGAACCTGGTCAGTACCTACATGGGTGTCCGCTTGGGAGTACCAGGTGCAGTAAACTCGGATGTGCAGGTTCGGAATTGTTAATCGGATAGCAGAGTTCCAATTCCTATTGGGTTCGTTATATTCATTTACGCGCAAAGGCCCTTGCGAAAGGTATGAATCGACTTCTTCTTTCCCCCAATCTATGGGTTAATTTGGATGATTTGCATCACTAAACCATTATTATCTCCCCTTAAAAATTGTTAAAACCTAAAAATATTTTCTGGCTTTAAATAACCCGCAAAGAGTTGATAAGCCGTAAAAACGAATGAATCTATCATATAAAAATGATTAAAACGTATGCATGTTTAAGCATATACATGTGTGATTGAAATCATTTTTTCGAGAATATTAACATTCCATTCTTATTAGGGAATTCATGCGTGAATTCAGGCCTGTAGACGAAAATTAAAAAAAAATATGCTGTTTAATAAATAAATGGAGCATATACACAAATACGACTATCCACTAAAAATGATGTTTAAGTAATAAAAAGCTGTAGGATTAATAAATAAATAAAATCATCCATTATATATATATATATATATATATATATATATATATATACATACATAAAAAGAAGGGAAGAGAGGTGCCACAAACGTTTTTGGTTGCAATGTGGATTTTTTTTTTAAATATTATGCTTTAAAGCAATGTGGATTTTTTAAAATATTATGCTTTAAAGCATAATATTAAAAAAAAATCCACATTACAACCAAAAACGTTTGCAGCACCTCTCTTCTCTACTTTTTAATATATACATTTTTTTTTCTCGTTGGAACCACTATAACCTCTTTCTTTTATATATATATATATATATATATATATATATATATATATATACATGTGTGTGTGTGTGTGTGTGTAGATAGATAGATAGATAGATAGATAGATAGATAGATAGATAGAGAGAGAGAGAGAGAGAGAGAGAACGAGAGAACAATAACTTTCATTTTTGTTTGCAAAAGAGAACAAATCAATCATGTTTCGTATAAGCTGAATCGACGTTAAGCCAAAACACGAAAACTTTCTCAGCACGCTGAACGGCCGGCAAAACCGATTCTGTTTCGTTTTCGTTTATTAAGTATGTTATATTTGACGTTATCAATTGAGTTGTTTTTAAATCGGTCTGGTCTCATCTTACTATATCCAGATTGTATTGGCCAAGTGAATTTCATTACATCTTTATATCCATATCTCTCTAGTCATCCAGCTATTACGTTCTAGCTGTCAGATTTAAAGTATTTTTAAATTCACGCATTCCAACTTCTACACATAATATAAAGAGCCTCAGAACAGAGCTGCTGTTAACAAAAAGATTATACACAAAAGTGATGTCATTTAACTTTAAAGATACACTTTTGTAAATATTTGTTTAGTGGTAGGAAATTCTATACGAATGTAGTGCATTAAAACAAAATATATTGCAAACATCAAACCTCAAATGAAATGTAATATAAACAGATTGAGCAATGACAAATTATCTTCTATCATAATAGAAAAAAAAACATAATTTGATATCTTGTGATTTATAACGGTAATTTTGTTTGTATGTAGCATGGATAGTGAATTCGAGTTTTAAACAAAGTATAAACATTCCTTATTTCAAAACATCTGAGTATCTCCAGTCGCACGAAAAGGCAAGGAGGAATAGTTATTTATTTGTACGTTTGTACAAAATGTGGCACAAGGCCAAAAAGGGGGGTGGGAAAGGAAGGTCTTCTGTCTTAATTCTAAACTTAGCTAGTCACAAACACGGACCCAAACATACCAACAATATTCCTATCACCAAAACAACACATTCACTCCTACTTTTCTTACTGCGTCCACCATAATACCTCAAATTCTCTATGAAAGCCTAACTTGTCCCCATATGTACATTTCAAAGTCTGTGGGGGGAGGTGAAAAAGCAACAATTTAATAAACCCCAATGATTATTTACAATATGAATTAATACTATTTACATAAAACAAAACAAAATAGGGTTAGTAATACCCCCCCCTCCGCACAATCCCTAAATGTGGCAGAAACATCAGTTAATTGCACGAAATAATTGCGGGATTATAACATAATCAAAAAGGCAAGGAGGAATGTTCGCAAATGTTTTATTAGTCGCATTTATACTTGTGGTCCTGCTCAACTCTACATCAGTACTTGACGTCGTGTACTAGGTCCCGTGATACGCGACGTGTCGTATCATTTTTTAATCGCGTCATGTTACCGAATATGAAAGACGTGTATTTTGATCCCATAATTTCTTAGATGAAGCATTGTAATTATTAATACTAACCAGTTTGTTTTTAGACACATTTTATTGTAACGTTCAGGTTCTATTTTAAAAAATTATATGATCATTAAGAAAACTGCACGGATGGAAAATAAAAGAATTAGCTTTTGGCAAGATTTGTCTTCGCATCGCCAATCCTTGGGAGCCTGTTTGTCATGGACAGCGCCTTACTGATTAGGTTACTAAAGATAACTTGCAGACGGCATTCAGATTTAGTGTGAGAATTACATTTTTCATCATTTGATTTTTAAACCATTCCATATCATTTGTTTTAGAAGTAGTAGTTGTAAATGTAATAGAATTAATGAGGAAGCATTGTCATTATTAATTTTCGATTAATTCTAAGTTGAGGGAAATTATATTTTAGATAAGTCATAATTATTTTTTATTTCCATCTTATTTTTGCTCCTCAGATTTGTAGAAAGATTTGTCAAAATGAATAAAAAACGATGTTCCTTTGATCTCATAACACTAAATTTACTGTTATACATACATAGATAAGTGTTCATGTGCGCGGACATACACACAAATATTCGCACTCACATCTGTTTTATTGATTCGCTTTTTACGGTTTATCAACCCCTTGCTGATTATTTAAAGCCAGAAAATATTTTTGAAGTGTAAGAATTTTTTGAGATAATAATGATACATATCTTACTAATTAACCCATAACTGGGGGAGAAGATTTAGATTCATACCTTTTCACAGGGTATTTGAGCGTAAGTGAATATAACGAACCCAAGTGAAATTGGAACTCGGCTCTCCGATTAAAAATTCCGAGCCATTATCTATTACACCAACCGCACATCCAATCTTACAGCACCTGCTGTTCCCAAACGGTCACCCTTCTAAGTACTGGCCAGGATCGACGTTGCTTAACTTCAGTGATTATACGGGAATCGGTGTTTCAACATGATATAGCCGTAAGCTATCTGTAATTTACAAATGGGCCTGGTAATTGAGAACAAATTATATGTTAAAGATTAAGAAAGATATTCAATCGGGAAATGCGTATTAAAACATCAGGTAGTTTTCCTTCATGTTGACCATCACGTCCATAATATCGGCCTTCAAAGAGTCATTAGTACTGTCGAGTAGCTAGTTGGTCTCTCTTTCAAAGACACCCCAGACGTTGTCGTCTTGGAGATTCAAATCAGGAGGTCACATGTGGATGATATGAACGTGAAGATTCTCTGGGCAAACACAGACTTTGATCATTGTGCCCATCATCTCGATGTTGGTCGTGATATTGACTCTTGAGGCCATGAGAAGACTTTTGATGCAATGACATAGCCCCAGGTTCCCGTGACTCCCAGAACTATAATGGAAGACATGATATAGCTGTGCATCATCATGGTTGGCCCTGTGGGATTATTGCAGAGCCACAGGGCGTTCCTTCTCTTCCAGAGCTAAGCTGGGCTCCTTGGGATTCTGGAACTTGTTCAAAAACCGCTTTGATCGGGTCACGTAGTTCTTCCGGGTCTTATCGGATATCAACTGCTGTTTCCATGTACCCTAGAACTAGTACTCAATGTCCTTGCGCACTACACATCTGATAGTTTGTGCTCTTCCGAGTGGGATGGCTGTCATCGATTTTGTGGTTGATGATACTCTCGGACTGCTGGACGACCTCAGCCATCCTCATGGCGTCTAACTGCTTAGAAACTGTCTCTCTTTGTGACGAAGTGCGCATACCATAGTCGTTATGGTTGTCAGTGCTACAAGGAAGGCGTGCTTTTCCATTTCCTGCGTTAGACTGGACGCCGCCATGATATGTCTTTCCTTTATCAGATTGGATACGCTTGACACGTCTTTTTATTTTAATCATTTCATTCCAAACAAGACGACAAAGCCACTAAGACGCAAGGGGCTTACTGGGAGTGGAGGGAAATGTGAAAACCTCATTGCGGAGAAAGGGCAATAGAAGAACAGATTTCAAGGAGCCAGATGACGACGATTGACGTTACATTTTAATTTTTGAAGATCATAGTTGACAGGAAAGCAAGACACCGGAAGAAAGTTCAATAGGTAGGAACTGTGAAACAAATGGGAACGGTAAAATTTGGAACATGTTAAGGACACTAGGTCGTTAAAGCCGTGTTCTTAAATACCTTTTACACCTTGTATATATATGTTTGGATGTGAATATATGCTCTGTTAGTATGGGGGATACAAAGGAAAGAAATTAATTACGATTTGAATAGCTATTTATAACAACGATAATGACCGTTAAATTCCTAAAGAGTGGAATGGCCTTTACATATTTAACAATTATTCGCAAATGCTTTTCTTTGCCGAGAAATTGTCATTGCTACGGAATATGCACATATCTTCACCGATTTTACACAAATGAAGGCGTTACCTTTTTATGGTGTACATTTATAGAGTGGCTCATCGCCGTTTCTTTGTCATCTATAGACAAATATATGTCGATGTTTTACACCACACACACTCATACATACATAGATACGACACACACACACACATATATATACATACATACATACATATATATATATATATATATATATATATATATATATATATATATATATATATATATATATATATACAATTCATCAGACCTACAAATTCAAAATTTTGAATTTGTAGGTCTGATGAATTGGATCGTGATTCAAATTCCAATGTAATAAATTATAACCATGGAATATTAGTGTTTGAGTCTTTTATATTATATTCTTGCTCTATCAGGGACATTGAGCTCTACCTGGATTCTATCTTCTCGAATATATATATATATATATATATATATATATTGACCACTAATATTATATCTCTCTCTCATATATATATATATATATATATATATATATATATATATATATATATATATATATATTTTGTGTGTGTGTGCGTATGTGCGTATGCATGTTCATAGGCATTTATTAATTCGACATATTTTAATTTATTGCTTAAACGTTATTTTTAATGGGTATTCATATTTGAGTAGATTCTGTTTTTATTTATTTATTAAATACTAGATTTATTTATTTACATCTACCAGCCTGAATATTCGAGAAATCTATTTATTTGTTGCTTAAACATTAACTTTAATGGATACCCATATGTGTGTTTAAATGAGGTCTTTATCATTATCATTATCTATGAGTTTAAATGCCCCTTAAAGAACTGTGTTCCTGATCAAACCGAATTCATAAATTCAACATCGGTCACACGACTAGATGTCTATCTAGACGCCTTATGTTACACATCTGTGACCACAGATCTATTAGTACCCATTTAAACACACACAGAAACTTACCAGACTTCATCCGAAACATACTAATAGAAAATACAAACATAATAACTTCATCCACATGTAAAAATAATGGAAGCCTTAATAATAAAAAGAAAAAGCCAACACTTAATAATATTAACTACGAACCCGACCACAATGTGCAGTGTTCGGAAAATAAAACATTTCTATAATTCTAGATATATAAACACAACCCATACATCTATTTAAAAGTTATAATATAATCATCTCTATAGCACTAAAACAATACACACAACGCACACACGCATTTAAATTGAAAAAATAAAATTATCCTTGATAATGGCTAAAAGTGTAGACGAAAACGCTCGGAATTATAGAATATTTGGACAGTTTCTACACACTCTGTGTCCAAAAAAGAAAACAAAAACATAAGAAAAATGAAACAAAAAGCTTCATCGTTTTACCTTGTCTGTCGTTTTTAATGAAACATGCATAAAAAAAAAACAAGAAGTAACAATTCATGTGGTTATGTAGAAAAGATAATACTAGACTAGACTTGAAAAGCTTCTGCCGAGACATCCTGCCAAGAGTCTGCTTCATAAAGCACCAGTTTTTGGGAAGAATCTGTCCTCATCGAACTTTCTTTTTACTACTGGACCACGAAGGTTACGTGGATGATGTGTTTTTGTGTACGTGGCATGGTAGGTCCCAGCTGCAAAGGTCAGGGCTGATGGATCCAAAGAATGTACTTCACCAGAACTATTTTCATGGAAATAGTGATATAGTAGCGAGAGACTTGTGACGTTTCATCTATGGGAAAGGGGTTCTAGGGTGGAAAATACTTCATCACCCACAAGGTCGCGTAAACGCTTTTGAAAAGGTAAGTGAGGACCAGGAAGTACCAGCTTAGATAGCGTTGTGTCGAATTTAGTTAAACTTACAAAATCACTACATGATGTGTATACATGTTAAGTCTAATTTATATAGACGAGTACGTATAAGAATACGAATATATAGTAGCGGCCATAATATAAGGAATGGAAACAACAAAGACATAAATATGTGTATTACTTAAAAAGTAATGCATGATTAGCAATGAAATTTTTAACGAGTAAAGATTAGGGTGTAATGCATAAATATTATACAAAGTTACACAAATTTACATAACAGTTTTTTTAAAAATAAAGATTAAATGGAACAAAGGAAATAAGCTACTGGACAAAAGTTAAGGAACGATCTTGTTAATACTTTATTGTGAACAAAATATCAACAAAATTTAATATTTGGTAAAAATCCCCTTATTTTCAATGACTTCTCTGCATCGTCGGCCAGATGATCTAATTAATTTCTTGCAAAAATCAGCAGTAATTCCCTCCCATTCGTCTTTCAATAACTCCCATAGGTGATCCTGGTTTTTCGGGTTTCTTTTCTGGGCCCTTTCTCCAATTATCTTCCAAACATTTTCTATTGGATTCAGATCGGGGTGGTTTAATGTTTAGCGAGCTTGTCTCGTTCGATCAACTGTGACTAAGTTGGGAGTTCAATCATTACTGAGTGTTCCATATTCTCGGCCTTGTGCCACATCTAAACTACGCCTAGTGTATCAGTTGTTGCATCTACTACAAGAAAAGTTGGGTCACTGTGCCGTATTAGAAAATTTTTCTCGTCAGAATTCATCTTGTACATTTACAAATCTACCATTCGTCTGTGCATTGAATACAATTGCCATATCTGGGTTGGTATTCCTGCTGTACATCAAAATTCAAAGAAGGGTCTGTAATGTAATCGACCCTGACGTGGCATCTCGACTTCAGTCACTTTCTCATTGACGTGACATGTCTTCTTTCTGTCTTTTCTAAAAATATTTTCATGGCAACTGCTCTGACAAGCTTTTTTTCCTTGGTGCCCCAAATAAAGTTAAGTGCTTCTAGATTGGTATCTAGGTACCACCCTTTTACTGTTGAAATAGCTAAATGTAATCATCACTTCTACTCCAACATTTTTTCTCATGAAATTCTCTTTTGTTTACAACCCTCAAAAATTTAAATGCAATTTAAATGCAACGTCAATCGCCATGTTCTGTCTCCTTGATTCCCGTTCATCTTTTGTCCTTTCTTCATTCCTTCCCATTTTAAGTTTTCTCTTTCATTTTCACTCCCTGTACTGCCTGTGAACTAGTGGCATTACTGCCTTGCTTGGGGTGAAATGATTAAAAAAATCGCTGTATCAAGCATAAGTCCTGTGATGAACGGGTGTCCTGAGAATCAAAGAATTAAATTTTTCTCTCAAAAGTTATCTTAATAAAAATATTTTATAATTAAAAAAAAAACATAAACTTAAAATTGCTGCCAAGATATTAAGCAATAACTAGGCCCTTAATATATTATTTTAATATTTACTCACGACTGTTTAAAATCCTGAACCTTCAACCAGCACTTTATGAACGAATGCCAAAATGATTCATTTGGTCAGTTATGGGAAGTGAGTCGGGCCTGAAACTTTCTAGCATGCCCTTGTAATCTTGCATCCACTATAAGTTAATTAATATATACTGTCTTAAATAACGTTCACGCACGTTGCATACATATAAATTCGTATCTAAGTGTGGAAAATGTATAGAAAGTGCTTTAATCCATAGTAAATAAGTGCTTTAATACATAGCAAATTTACGTCTATCTTGCAACATTTC